CCCCCCCCCACACTCACAGAGAGAGAGAGAGCGAGAGTGGACACAAACACCTCTGTCTGTCTGTCTGTGTGCCTGTAGACGCCTTCTCGACGATGACCACGACAATGACGACGACCGCCCAGATGCCCCCGCCGCTGCAGCTGCTGCCAGTGACAACGACAACGACAACCATCTCAAGGCCAAGATGCAGTCCTTGGGTCAAGGCGGTGAGAGCGACGCCGGCGAGAACGTCATGGAGGACCTCTCGCGACAACGAGCCAGGTGCGCGTGCGTGACGGTGCTCACACACACACGTGCGCTCCCACGTGATGTGTGTGGTGTGCAGGGGCGAGAATGGAGCAGCTGCAGCAGCGGCAGCGGCTGCAGCATCAGCGGCAGGAGAAGAGGAGATGTATCTTGCTGCTCTCGCTGCGTCGGAAGAGGAGATGGATCTTGCTGCTGCTCTCGCTGCGTCAGCAAGAGCAGAACCATCCGCTGCTGCTGCTGCTGGTGCTGCTGCATCGGCATCGGCATCAGCCGCGGCGGACAACCGCAACGGTATCGTCGAGACGCACACACACACACACACACAGAGAGAGAGAGAGGGAGGGAGAGAGAGAGGGAGAGATGGTCTCATAGTCCACTCCACGTGTGTGTGTGTGCAGGGGAGGACATGTCCCTTTCAGACATACTGCAGCGGATTCGGCAGCAGGTGCGGTGCGTCTGTGCTGTGCACCTCTCTCTTTCACGCACTCACACCGAGGCCCATCCCATGCCATGTGTGTGTCTTATTTACCTGATCTGTGCCACACTACCTACAGGAGCAGGACGAAGCCATCGCTCGCGAGATGCAGCGGCAGGAGACCGGCGGCCCGCCCCCGTCCGCCATATGGATGGACCTCGAGGATGACGATGACAATGACAATGACAACCAGAACAACGGTACACACACACCTTCACCAATCCATCCATCCATCCGTCCATCCGTCCATGTGTGTGTGCAGGTGGGCAGGGGCGGGGCAACCACAATGAGGGCGACGAGCGACCCTCCTCCTCAGCAGCAGCGGCGGCTGCGGCACCGCAGGACTGACTGACCCACAGACAGACAGACAGACACACGGAGATGGACAGATCGTTTTCTGGGGTGGGCGTGGGCTGATGGGTTCATTTTGTCGGTTTGGGCGGAGGGAGGGAAGACATGTTCGTCCGTGTGTGCGTGGGTGCCTGCTCGACCAATTGGTCGCTCTTGGTTGGTTCAATCATGGCATGGGAAGACTTTGACATTCATTTCATTTCTCGTGGTACGTGCTGTGCTTCAGTGCGGTACTTGCTGAGCGAGTCTACTAAGTAGCTAGCTGGGTGAGTCTGTCCGACCCAACACACCAACACACAGCTCTCGGACAAATAGACAGCCACCAGACACTCACACGAGTCACGACCCGCCCCTGCCCCAGTATTGACCCATTGGCCACGCCGTCAAAAACTCCATGTGCGGCTGGGCATGACACAGCACAGCACACAGCACACAGCACATCACCGAGAGATGGGAAGGGGCGGAGAGGTGGCTGGCCCTCCCTCCCTCCCTCCCTCCCTCCCTCGTGTGTGTGTCTTACGTGTGTGTGGGTGTGCGTGTGGGTATCGTTGTATGTGTCGGTCGGTCTGTCAGTCAGAACAAACTCTTTCGTCTCCGTTAGTCTGTCGGGCCGGCAGACCGACCCGACCGACAGACAGTAAATAAACAAACTAGGCTGTGGCTGTGGGTGGTGTGAGCCCATGGGTGCCGACACATCCATAGCATAGCGGCCACAGAGGAGGGCCGGCATGAACGACATCCATCATCTGAAAAAGAGACGTCCATCCATCCGATGATGCATCGATGTGCGCACCACGCCAGCCGGCCGCAAAAGAAGAAACTCTCTCTGGTGGTCTGTCTTTTCACTCCACATACCCACACGACACACGGAAGGAAACTGGGTAGGTGGCAGCATCGTTCGCTCACCGCTTCCCGTCGCCCTGCCTGCTAATGCTCTCCAATATCTCCTTCAACGAAGAGTTCACCGGCATCGACATCGCCCCACCGCCCTCTCCCTCTCCCCCTCCCCCTTGCCCCTGTGTGTTGTCCTCACTCCCACCACTCCGCTGCCCAATTGACCGGAAAAGACTCTGCAGCGGCGCGGAGAGCGGCATCTTGGGCAAAGTGGTTGACGAGGCCACCGATGAGGTCACCAGGTTGCTCGCACCAGCACCAGGGCCGGGCAGCAGAGGCAGGCTGTTCGATCGGTGCGCTGGGTGCTGGTGCTGCTGGTGATGGTGATGTTGCTGCTGGACGGGCAGAGCGGGCAGGCTGTGGGCGTGCGGGACGGTCACACACGGGGCTGGTGGGTCGTAGTCCGCAGCAGCCGAGTAGTCGGCGGCAGCAGCAGCAGCAGCAGCCGAGTGATAGGTGTGAGCTCCAGGAGCACCAGGGCCACCAGGATGACCACCGTGAGAGGGGGGAAAGTACACCCACCCACCAGCAGCACCCGCACCACCAGGAGCAGGCTGCTCATGGTACGGGGGGAACACATGTGCGTGGGGGTGGGCGAGGGGGTGGGCGTAAGACGACGGCACGGTCACGGTCGAGCCCAGAGGGATGGTCGCTCCCGCATGACGGTAGGACGTCATCCCGCCCGCCAAAGCTCGATACCGCGGCTCGCGTGACGGCTGCTTGATGGAGAGGGAAGTGGCGCGCTGGGGTGAGGAGGGGGAGGGAGAGGGAGAGGGGCTGGGGCTGGGGTTGGTCTCCTGAGCGCTGGACATCTTGCGCCTGTTGGCGCGACCCAGAGGCACCCGGCCCACCTCTGATCAACACACACACACACACACACATGAGGGAGCATCGCGCGGTTCTTCTCCCTCTCTCTGTCCGTGCGGTACGTACCTGCGAGCCCATCATCGCCGGCGTCTTCATCCCCCTCTCCCTCTCCCTCTCCCTGTACCATTTCTGCATCATCGCCCTCCTCGGATATCCTCCCCAGCTGCGGCCGAAACGGTCTCCTGACCGGCGGCATGGGCCGGTCCGAGTCGCCCTCAGCGCTGCTCCTCTCCCGCACCGGCCCCTGTGGCTGTGGCTGCGGCTGCGGCATCTGCGCTTTGAGGTCCTTGCTGCTGCTGGTGAGCTTCCGCTGCCCGCCGCGACCTGTCTCTCTCTTGCCGTCCTTGCCGTCGGGAGGGCTGGTGTCTGTGTCGGGTGGTGGTGTGTCTGGGGGGTCGTCGGAGAGCTTGCGCTTGCGAGAATGGGACGGCAGAGAGGTAGGGGGGTCTTGTTGCTGCTCCTGCTGCTCCTGCTGCCGCTGCTGCTGCTGGTGGTGGTGCTGCCGCTGCTGGTGGTGGGTGGGTTGCTGTGCGGCGGCTTCTTGCTTGGGGGGCGGGGAGTCGTGCTGCTGTTGTGATTGTGGCGGTGCTGCTGCTGCTGCTGCTGGGAGGTCGCCATTGCCACAGGTGCGGGAGGCGTCCCGTAGGCGATGGTGCCTGCCGTCATCTGCACAAACACAGACACATGCATGGACACAGGCAGCTGACATGGTGTGCCATGCCAAGGGCACCCACCCCACCTGAGTCGTCATCTCCTCGGTCTTCGTCATCGCGCGCCCGGCCGCTCGACGGCGGCTGACATCCGCCACCGCCACCAGCGCCACTCGTCTGCTGCTGCTGCTGCTGCTGATTCTTGTCTTGGTCTCCTCCTTCCCCTTCCTGCTTGACCTTGCCACCACTCGTCCCCCCCTCTCCGCCAGTCGTCGTCATGTGTGCCACCTGGTGGTCATCATCGACCGGCTCCTGCTTGATCTTGACCAGACGCCTGTGCTTCTTGTCTTGGTCTGGGGTGTGTTTGCGCTTCTTGCTGGGAGGCAGGGGCGGTGGTGCTGCTGCTGCTGCTGACGGGGGAGGGAGGGGGGGCAGAGGGGGGGAGGGGTGCTCTTGCTTGACGGTGACGCGGGAAGCGGGGGGCTGCTGTGGCTGTGGCTGTGGGTGTGGCTGTGGGTGGGGGGCCTTGGCTCTTGCCACCTGCACACATGGATGGATGGATCCCTCCGTGTCTGTCTGCTCTTCTCTGCCCCCTTTGTTCTGTTCACACACACCTACCCGTGGCTTGGCCTTGGCTTTCGGCTGTGGCTCGTATCCATCAGCCGCACCAGGTGCAGCAGGAGCAGCGCCCTCGGGTGGTGCTGCGTCAGGCTCCGTCTTGGCGCCTGACAAAACCCTTCTCTTAATGAAGGTCGGCACGTCCGTGTCGTTGAGCAGCTGAATCCGCGGCCGCGCCTTATCCCTCTCGACACCAGCACCAGCACCACCGCCCACACCGACCTTGCCACCACCGGCGCCCTTTTTGCCCCTCCCCACACCCACAGCAGCAGCAGCAGCGGCTGACAGCGCCGGCAATGGCACGAGTGCCTTTCTCTCTTCTCCTGCGGTGGTGAAGCTGAGCTTGGGCGAGGTGATCATCATTGGCGCCCCGTCCTGCCCTTGCTGCTGCTGTTGCTGCTGCTGCTGCTGCTGTCCCTTGCGCATGGACGGGGGTGGGGGCGGCATGAAGGGGTAGGGAGTGGAGGGCTGGACGGGGGATTGGGTCTCCTAGAAGGAAAGAAAGAACACTGCTTGCTATCGCTGTATGTGTGTGGCGGGTGTGCACCCCTCCCTCCCTGCCTGCCTGTGTGTGTGTGTGGTTGATTGCTCACTCGGATGATCTGCTCCTTGGCTTTGCGGTTCGCCATTGACAGCAGGTCCCGAGGGCGGTGGAAGGGGAGAGGGCCTGAAGCGACGGAATCCGCCAACTGACTCCAATGCACCTTCTCACGCCTGTATCTCATGCGCACCACACACACACAGAGAGATGGAGTGTACGTGTGTGCGAGTGCGCGCGCGCGTGTGTCAGCATGCCTGATGGCTTGGCCGGGCTTTTTGATGACGTCTGTGGAGCGGAATAGGTGCACCAGGTGGGGCGGGAAATGTGGTGGGTCCAGTGGCCACACGCCTGCACACACACACACACACACACAGAGGAGTGTTTGTCCCGGACAGACACATTGGATGCCTTTCGGAGGCGGCCCGCAGCGCAGCGCAAGCCACACGCACCGACCGCACCTTCTGCGTGTCGTTGGCTCTGGTGGTTTTCGATCTCCTTGGCCAGACTGTAGATGCTCTCGCTGTCCAGCCCGTTCACGTCGAGCCGGCCCGTCTTGGGGTACTCGACCTGATGAATCGAAGACCCAACACCCAACACAAACACACATCCATCCATCCATTCCTCCACAGCCAGGGCACACACACACAGAGAAAGAAAGAGGGGGGAAGGGGTCCCGGCCTTGGAAGCGAAGCATACCAGCAGCCTGGTGAGGCACTCAAACCACGGTATGGGGTTCTCCTGCGCCTTCTTGACAATCTGATCCAGCTGGTTGCTCAGCGCGTGACGCTGTAGGCACCCACCACACACACATACATAAGCCCTCTGAGACCAACCAATAATGCGACCGACTCGCTAAGCTGACCGACCAGGCTGTTGTTGAGAAAGAGGAAGGCCATGAGGCACCTGAACTGCACGAGCATCTCGAGGGTGGTCCAGTCGGCCAGCACACGGCCCAGCACGCCCACGCCCACCTCGCTCGGTGACAGCAATGACACCGCCGTCTCGACCTTCCTGCACAGACACAGAGAGAGAGAGAGAATTACTGCATTCGTGTGTGTGTGTGTGTGCGAGGAGATTGTGTGCGTGTGGCTGTGTGTCAGGACTGACCAGGTTTTGCCCGAGAGTCTGCTGTAGAAGGCCTTGCAGGTGTCCTCTACCCTAGTGGTGGTCGAGAGCCTGAGGCTCTCGCCTACCATCATCCTCACCGACTCCCCTCCCTGAATCGCTCACTCAGTCAGGCAGACTGGCTGGCTGGCTGGCCGCAAGGCCTGATAGCTCGAGCTGAGCGTGGGGTCAGGTGTCAGGTGACCAGCGCAGGGTTTGTCGGGTCAAATTTGGAGGGTTTCAGGGTAACAGCTCGCTCGCGGCAGCGACAGAGTGGCGAACAAACAAAGGCGAGAGACCGATGCTGCCATCGGAGTCACCGATGAGGCAGCATCAGCATGATCCCAGCGTCACGAAGCAGAAGCCCTCTCCTTCCCTCAGCGCCATGTCCACTTGCGGTGATCTGCCCTCCCTCCCCCTCCCCCTCCCCCTCCCTCCCCATACCACGCCAGCCACCCCCACACACAGCATGGCGGCATGCTCCACGACAGCAGCAGAGGACAGCTCCGACGAGACAGCCTCCATGCTCACCAGCTACGCCTCACACACCTCCGCCGAGCTGTCGTCGTCCCACCGAGGCAGCCACGGTCACCAGGAGGCCAGGCGGCTGCGGGAGGCGCTGAACAAGCTGCGGGCATACTGGGAGACCGACCGGCGGAAGCTGCAGCAGCTCGAGGAGCAGCTCGGGTGCGGGTCGGACAACAACACCCCTTGCCGTGCAGTGACCGACAAGACACTGAAGGCCGAGAACGACCGACTCCGGCGGGAGATCCTGCAGCTGCGGAGCGACAGCCAGTCGGAGGCCGCCAAGACGCGGAAGCGCCTCGAATTCGACAAGGAGTGCCTCTCCAGCGAGAACAATCGGCTGCGCCAGGAGATGGCGGCCGTGCAGGCCAAGGAGCAACGAGCGATGATCAAGGTGCGGGAGGCAATGGGGCGGCTGGTGGAGCACCGCGACGAGACCCGCAGCTGGCGGGAGGCGTGTGAACGGCATGAGGAGCGGGTGGAGTCCCTGGAGATGGTGGTCGAGGACCAGCAGGCGCAGATCAGCCGGCTGCAGCACCAGCTGAGGGTGGAGGAGCATCTTAAGGCGTCGCTGCGGCAGCGGCTGGCAACAACACCACCAGCAGCACCAACACCGCCACCCATCAGCAAGCGGCGAAGAATCGTCGACCGATCTGAATCTGTCGGCACCGCCCCCAGCCCACTGGCAGCCCCGCCACCCACCGCCACAAGCTCTGTTGCTCGGCTCATCACAGCAGGGGAGACCTTCCAGGCGATGCTGGCCTTCACCGCAACACACCAAGATGACAGTGATGGCAATGAAGAGGCGGCCCTGCTGCGGGATGTGGTCGTCGAGTGCCTTCAGCAGCAGCAGCAGCAGCAGCAGCAAGGGGCAGGGTCAGAGGCCGAGACCGATGTGGAGAAGGATATGGAGAAGGACAAAGAGAAGAAGCTGTGCACTTGGGACCGGCTGGCGCGGTTCCTCTCCTCCCTGATCATGGCAGCCGACTCCCCGGAGGCCTTCGTGTCGGTCATGAGACTCCTCGGCGAGATGCTGCTCTCCCACGCCCACACCCACACCCACACCCACACCCACCATGATGGCTGCTCTGCGGAGGGGCTGGGCTACGTCATGGCGAGTGTGGGCAGGGCGTTTCACCAGAGAGAGAGCGTCCGGGCGTGTGTTGCCGAGGTGACGAGGCAGAAGCCATCTTCTTCTGGCTATGTAGAGGCAGTCACGGCCGGCGTGGCGGCTGCATGGCCTGACGGCAAAGAAAGTGGTTGATGAGTAAGGTTGGTGTGAATGGATGGATGGTCAAAGAGTTGTGGATGGGCAGATGCCTACAGACGAGACGACAATGTTTGTTTGGAACGTCCGTATCACTTTAAGGGCGTGACGTGGCGCGCGTAAGTGTGTGTGTCTGTGTGTGTGTGTGTGTGTAGGGGGGTAAGAACTGATGAATCAGGGTGACTGACTTGTGTGGTCAAGTGCTCATATGACTGATCGTTGCCACCCGCACACTAGCCACCACACACACACTCACACTCACACACGGATGAATAAAGCTACAGTATTGGTCCTCCGCCTCCATCCATCCATCAGGTCTCCCCCCCTCCAGAGGCGTGCACTTGCTGACGCAATCGCTGCATTGCGTGGCACCCAAAAGAGAGCGCACAGCACAGCGCGTGACGACACCCACACACACCCACACAGACACACACGTGCACACACCTGTCAGACACACCGATAAAAGGGGCAGCGCATCCATCCCGTCGACCGGACCGAGAGCCCCACCGGACAGAGAGACAAGACAAGCCCGAGATGCCAAGCCACCCAAAACCATCGATAAGCAGATCCCCAAAGGCTGGAGAGAGGAGACAAAAAGAGCTCCATCATCGAATGGACTGACTGGACACCCCTCCCTCCCCTCCACCAACTAGCCCCCACACCCCCACGTGTCTGTCATCCATTCTTCTGCCCTTATGCGTGTGTGGGAGGGGAGCAGCCGATAGCTATGTGTGAGAGGGTCGTAGCCGATAGCTATCGGCTGCTCCCCTCCCACACACACGCACAGAGGCAGAAGAATGGAAAGAAACAGACAGACAGACAGGGGGCTGCTCCCTTTCACGCTGTCGCCCGCTACCCTACCCCGCCACAACCGTCAAAGTGGCGATGGCCGGCTCGCTCTCCCTGGCAGTGGGGCTCATGCTAGGTGTCGACGGCACCGAGTAGAATGACGGCAGCCGCGTACTCGCCGCCGACAGCGACCGCTCCGGCCTCGCTGGCGCTGGGCGGTTTGTCGGCTTGTCATCATCATCGCCCTCAAGCTCGTGGTAGTCGAACTCTAGATCGGCCTCGTCGCCTAGGCCTCCCCGCTGCTGGTGCTGCTGGTTGTGGGCCCTGTCTCTCTCTTGGCCTATCTTCTTCTCGATCTTGGCGATGTCGTTGGTGGCGCCGAGGACGCCGGCGAAGGCGATGGCCGCCCCGATGAGGTACCACACAGAGAAGCTGACAGACAGACATTAATTAACACACAGACGTGTCAGCACAGACGTCAGCACAGCACACATTTGGCCGTGGTGGTGTGCTTAGCTTATTTACTTGTGTCGCCTTAGCACCAGGGTGTCGGTGAGGATGGCCTGTGTGGGCGGACAGCACACACACACACACGGAGAGGGAGGGAGGTCGATCGATGGATGGATGTGTGTGTCTGCGCCACGTGTGTTCCTACCAGCGGCACCACTAAGGTGACCACCAGCTGCGCCACAAGCATCGGCAGCTTCGTCATCGAGTACCTGACCCACACACACAATACACATACACACGAATCACACCCCCCTCCCTCCCCTCGCGTGCTCACATCAACATAAAGTCTGGCAGCCACGCACACGCCCCATTGACGAGCAGCAGCAGCAACACATACGGCGGCGGCGCCGCAAACGGCTCCAGCCGCGCCACAGAGGCGAGCAGCAGCACCAGTGGGCACGCCACTGTGGTGAGCAGGCCAATCCACCCCGCTATGACAAAGATCTCCGACGAGGTGATTTTGAAGTAGCGGAGGTAGATGGCGTAGGCGGCACTGCACGAGAGCACACACACAGACACAGAGAGCGGGGGGGGGGGACGGGGTGTGTGCTGAGGTCTCTCTCTCTCTCTGTGTGTGTGTGTGTGTGCCTGCCTGCAGATGGTGGTCATGAGGGCGGCAAGGCCCCCGAGCAAGTGGTGGTGCATCCTGTGCTCAGGCTGCCCGTGGTGGGCCGGGGACGCAGGGTGCGTCAGGATGGTCACACAGATGCCTGCACACAAAACACAACATTCACACACACACAACACACAGAGGGCCCATTGAGAGGGAAATCCTCCACTGTGTGTGTGTGTGTGTGGGTGTGTCGACCGGAGAATGACACAAGGAGGAAAATGAAAGTCGGCGGGCTGAAAGGGTCGCGAAACACTAAGATGGTCCCGCTGCACACAAAGGAGGCACACACACACACACATGAGCTGGTCTTTCTCTGTCTGTGTTGGTGAGGTGTGTATGTGTGTGTGTTGGGGTACATGTAGCTGAAAAAGACGACCGTCGACCAGATGATGTTGAAAGAGGAGATGCTCGTCAAGGAGAGCGACACGAACGCAAAGTAGCAGGACACTGCACACACACACGCATCCACTCCACCAGATGTGGCGGCCAACCAGCTCGTGTCAGTGCCTTCCTTAAGTTGCTCACAGAAGTAGAGCAGCCCCATGGGCAGCGCCATCCTGAGGTGCTCCCGCCACTCACGCACACACCTGCACACCACAAAGACACACACACATGGATGGATGGAAGGATGGTTGAGCGCATCAGCAGCTGAGGGTCAGGCCTGCAGCCGCCTACTTACTCGCCGCTTAGCGCCTCCCCTCCCCGCTCATCGCTCTCGACATCCAGCCTCTCCTGCACCACCCTCCTGACGTCAGCCATCTCGGTCCACGACCTCGCACCACGACACCGACCTGCACAAACGATTTAGGTGGCCACCATGGTGTTGCACTCCCTGTGTGTGTGTGTGTGTGTGCGTGTGTGTGTGTGGTCTCACCTTTCCAGAGTGGGAGCGTGGCGGCCAGCTGGGCGAAGTACTTAGGCGCGAGCAGCATGAGCTGGCAGGTCTGGAAGAAGCTCATCAGCAGCATCGAGTCGCATGAGTAGGACGACACCAGCAGCCTTCACACACACCCACACACACATATCCACAGGCAGAGGGAGATCTTTCCTTGTCTGTGTGTTTGTGTGTGTGGATCTCTTTCATGTGTGTGCGTGCGCTTAGGTTAAGTCACTGTGTGAGGCAGTTTGAGACGATGGACACGAAGACGGCGAGGGTCAGCGCCGTCACGCCCGCGAGGCGCTCGGCGCTGCTGAAGAACGCCATCAGCATGATAGATCCACAGATGTGTGTGATGCTGATCAGCACAGCTGTTGCTGCTCGACGTGCTCCAGCAGCCGGGAAGGGGTGAGTTGCGGTCCTTCGCTCCCTGAGCTCGCATCATTCGCCCCCAGTCTCGCCACTGGCAAGGTTGCCCCTTCCCTCCCTCTCCGTGGGGTGTCCCTTGTGCTTTGGTCGGCACGGAGGATTTGGGAGGGAGGATCATCCATCTATCCATGGCGAGTGCGAAGGCGGCTGCGGCTCCTTCTGGGCGACAGAGGAGGAAGCCCCCCAGCTGGTGGGGCGCCGGCAACGTCACAATTCAGAGCACTGGTCGGCGCGAACCAATGATGAATCGATGCATCCGCACAGAAACCCTTTGTTATGTTTGTGTTGTGTGTGTCTTTGTCTGTCTGTCAGGTTTGTTTTGGCGGGCTCTCATGCCGGGATTCATATCTCTGACCCTGGACATGATCCCGTCCTTCGTGGTGCAGGCCACGGCGCCGTTCGTGCTGATGGAAATCGGCACTAACCCTGACAGGTGGTACCCCATCTGGTCAGTGAGTCAGCCAGCCACTGCCACCCACCCACCCACCCACACCACTGCAGCGTGTAGGTGGCATTTATGTGTGTGTGTGGGGCTGGGGCTGGGGTTGATGTGCCAGTGTTGCGAGCATCTCGGCGGGTCAGATTGTGTCTCTCAATCTCGTGGGTGAGGCAGCACGGCGCACATTGAGAAGCACGGCGCACATTGAGAAGCGCACGGGATCGACGTTTGTGTGGGTGTGGATGTCGCTGTCGGTTGACCAGGGACGCTTCTGAGCGTCGTGGACCCCCCGGCGCTCATCTGGGCGTCCATCGTCAGCTCGGCCCTCGCCATGGGCCTCTTGGGATTCTGCAGAACGACGTCAACGTACGTCGCCGGCAACGGTATTCATTCCCACACACAGAGAGAGAGGCAGGACCCGGTAAAGTACACAGCCATTTGTGTGTGGTTGTGGTCGTGGTTGTGGTTGTGGTTGTGGGTGTGGGTGTGCAGTTCTGGTGGGCTTGGCTGCCTTGACGGATCCCGTTGTGGCGGCGATGATATTGGAGCTGATGCCGGGAAGCGACCCGATATCGGCCCACCTCAGAGCAAAGGTCAGTCAGAGCACCCACCACTGGAAGGAGGGCTTCACGCCGGCCGGCCTCTCACCGCTGTCTCTCTCTCTCTCTCTCTCTCTCTCTCTTTGTGTCTGTGCTGTACGCAGTTTTTCTCAATGAAGGTGCACGATGAGAGAGAGAGAAAGAGACAGAGGAGACAATTGCGATCAATGGAATCCCTTGTGTGTGTGCTGTCCGTGTCTCTGTCTGTCAGGTTGTGGCCAAAGGTTTCGGCTTTGTGTTGGGGCCTGCCTTTGGCGTCTTCATCGCGCCGCTGGGAGGTACAGACGTCTCACACACATACACACAACACAACACAGAGCACCTGACTGACTGGTGCGCTGCGCTGCGTCGATGATATGCTGCAGGTTATCGGCTGACCTATTTCCTGATATCGGCTTTCTGCGCCTTCTGACTGATCGTCTTGCTCGCCTACTGGCACACGACCAAGCCGCAGTCGTGGGCCTCCTTCGTCATGCAAAAGTGAGAGATGATTGAGAGGACCGGCCTCCTTGCCCTCCCTCCCCACTCCATGTGTGTCCCTCCCTCCCTCCCTTCCTCCCTCCCTCCCCCCCTCTCAGTGAGGAGATCCTGGGCTCATGTGCGATCGCCGAGTGGACGACAAAAGCCGCCGACGTCCGCGACATCCGCCGGTCCACGATGCACGCCGTTCTCGACTCGGAGGACATCGCCTCTCTCGGCGAGCTGGCATTCGTCCCGTTGCAGGCCAGGTGGCGCGCAGAGCGCCGCCCGGCCGTTCACCACCACCAGCCCTCAAGGTTCCTCTCCGACCTGATGGCCTTCTGTGAGAGCCGCGACAGCGATGGTGCTGGTGCAGGGCCGTCAGGGGCGCTCGGCAAAGCTCTGGCGTCGTTCAGGCGGACTAAAGATGGGCCCAACTCGGTGTGTGCACCACACACCGCGGCGGCAGCGGATCACCACCACCACCGTGCTGACAGGTATGAGACCCAGCCGAGTGGCGACAGCAGCTTGCAGAGGGTCGTGGCGCTCGAGACGGTTGACGAGGGCGACGAACACGATAACGATCAGGCGGCGGACTAAGAGATGGAAAGAGTGACCGCTGGAGAAATTGCAGAGCCGCGCAGCGTGGGAGAAGGGACAACGTCCGCTGCTGAGGGGAGAGGGGAGGCGGGGAGGGCCAAAGGGGTGGTGGACTGGCGGTGGGTGCTGCACGTCCTTCTGCCCATGGTGGCCATATTCGTCTCTGTCGGTCGGTAAAGAACAGTGCGCACACACGTGTGTGTGTGTGTGTGTGTGTGTATGCATGTCTCTTGTGTGTGTGTTTATCGCTGCTGCCTTCGTGAGTGCAGGCAACAACCAGGTCATACTGGGCACCTTCCCTCTTTTGGCTCTTCGCAAGTTTGGCTACGGTTTCGAGAAGGTCTCCTACACCATGCTCGTGACGCAGTTCTGCCAATTCGTGGCCTTCATGTGGGGGCAAACCCACACACAGAGGCAGAGAGACCGAGGGGGAGAGAGAGAGAACATGTCTCTGGTGTGTTTGTGTGCGTGTGTGTCAGGACTGTCCCCCGGACAGTGATTCCAAAGTTGGGCGCGTGGCTGACCAGCCTGCTGTCGGTCGCTATACCATCCACACTGAGTAGGCCGCACAGTACAGCACACAGAGAGAGAGGGAGAGAGACGCGGGGGAGGGAAGACATCCATATTTCAGTTGCCGCATGCTATCTGTCTCTGTCGCGCTGCAGCTGTGCTGTTCCCCTTCATGGAGTCGCCAATAGGGTTTCACGCCATTCTGAACCTTCTGCTGCCCTTCTCAATGGCTCCCATCGAGCCAGCCACTACACGTATCCCCAACAACACACACACACACACACACACAGAGAGAGAGAGAGCCCCACGTGTGCTGTGGGGGGGTCTGGTGCAGTGTTGATGACCCGAGCCTGTGCGGGGTCGCCTTACATGGGTGTCTTGCTCGCCGTCCACCTGACGATGAGCCAGGCCGGCAAGATCGTCACCTCCTTCCTCACAAGTCAGTAAGACAACAGATCATTCATATGGATCCAATCAGAACACCTCCCCAAACCCACCCTCTGTCCCTCTGCCCCTCTGCCATATATCTCGCAGCTGCCCTGTTCACCGAAGAATCCTCGGTCAACGTCGGCCTGCCCCTCTACAGCACCGCACACAGCTTCTCCTACCTCCCATATTACCTCACCGGCGGCATCATGGGCGCCACAATGGTAGCCTCCTTCTTTGCCATCCGCCGTCCATCCCCCACTAAAGGCGGTCAGGGAGGCGGGGAGAGTGGGGTGGGAGGGAGGGGGGATGGCGATGGCGGGGGGTATCGCAGGCAGGCGCCATTTCTGGAGGGCGGGGGGTGGCGGGGGCTGAAGGGTGACCACCGTCATGATAATGCCAAAGGCCAGCGGGGTTGACAATGTGGTGGTGTGTGTGTGTGTGTGTTGATAGGCATGCAGTTATGGCCGTGATGTGATGTGATCGAGTTTTCTAGAGGCAGGCAGGTGTGTGGGGGGAGGGGGGGTATGTGTGTGTGTTGGTTTTGTGCCAAGTAAGTCGGTTCTGTGTCCTCTTTGGCACTCATGATCGATGTTATGTGTGTGTGATCCATGACACAAACAGACAAGACCAATTCGCCCGTCGCTCCCGAGTGAGACACACATACAGAGACAGAGAGAGAGAGAGAGAGAGGTCACATGAAGTGTGGCCGGCTGCCAGCTGAGCCAATCCCCCGGGAAATTTAAGGCCGCAACACAACACAACACACACACACATATGCCTTGCCTCTCCCCCCGTGTGTCTGCCTGCAACATCAGGCCCGTGCGCCCTCCGCCTCCTGTCGTTGTCTGAGGTCCTGTCTGTATTCCGTTGCTCTCTCCTGGAAATCGGCGTCCTGCTGCTCGATGTCCTTGAGCCTCTCGCGCGATGACGCCATCTGCAAACACACACACACATGGCATGGAGAGAGGGAGGGGGAAAGGGTGGTGGTGGTGGTGGTGGGGCTGCTTGCCTCGTTTGGGTGGTCTTGCTTCCTCTTGTCAAAGGTAGCTTCGGCCGCCTTGGCTTTCTGCTGCAGCCCACTGAGACGCTCCTCCTAGACACACACACACACACACACAGAGGGAGAGAGAGAGTGTAGGCGATGTGTCAGTCACTCTCGCGGATTTACCTCTTTCTGCACTTCCTTCTTGAGGGCCGTGAGCTGCTCGTCATAGGCAGTTGTGGCCGTCGCCAACATCTCCTGCACCTCTCCATCCATCCATCCATCCATCCACACACACATGGGCAACTGAGTAGCTCATCACCTTCTGCTGCTTGAGCACGGAGCGCTGCGTGGCGAGGCTCTTGAGCTCTGCGTCGACAGTCTTCTCCAGCTGAAGGTCGACACATGGGAGGAAGGCTGTGTGTGTGTGTGTGTGAGTGGCCCGTTATTGCCTGCCTGGTTGCACTTGGCGGTCTCCCCGCCCTGAAGGCGTTTCTGCTGCGTCTCGAGCTCGAAGCGGCGCAGCTCTGATGCGGTGATGTGCTGCTCCTCTGAGGCTATCTCTGTTTAGCCGCACACACACACACAAGCTCGGACAGCGAGTGCGAGTGTGAGGGCGTGCCTGCTTCCAGCTCTCGGAGCTTTTCTTGCTGCTGGGAGAGGCGATTGATCTCAACCTGCACACACACACAGACACACACACACACACACACAGAGAGAGAGAGAGAGACAGCAGAGGTGGGTGAGGTTTGGGTGTGTCGACGCTCTCGCACCTTGAGTCTGGCGGGCTCCTCTGCGGCGGCTTTCCTGACGTTGCGCTGGCAAACCTGAACACACCACACACCACACACAGGACAGAGAAGCAAGCCACATCGCTCTGTGCTGTTCCTCTCTCTCTCTCTCTCTGTCTGTGTGTCTGTGTGTCTGTCTGTGTTTGTCTGTCTGTGTGTGGTTGTCAATCGCTTACTTTAGCGATTCGGCCGAGGCACGAGTGGGAGATGCGGCAGCCCGTCAACCGCAGCTGCATACCATACACACATTGACTCACTGATTGACAGACACACACGCACGCACACACACACAGAGAGAGAGAGACAGAGAGAGAGAGACGTACCTCCTGCAGATGCTCGTTCTGGTTGACGGCTTCGAGCAGCTCGGCCTCGCAATTGGCACTCAGAAAGTTGTCCGCCAGGCGCAACACCTAAAGACAAGACACACACACACACACACACGGCCCAGCACACACACGCTCACACAGAGAGATGGATGGCCGTCGATTGGATTGTATTGTACCCTGAAGGTGGGGTTGTCCTGTACACAGACCAGCAGGTGCAAAACTCCGACCTCGGTCAGTCTGCAGGAGCTCATCTCGAGCACACGCAGAGGAGTGCCTAAGTGCTGAGACAAATCCAACGCCTGACACACACACACATTCTTCATTCACGGCTCATACTCTCTGTCTCTCTCTCTCGCTCTCGCTGCCTCTCTGTGTGTGTGTGTGTGTGTGTGTGAGAGTACCATGGCGATCTCTCTGCATCCGGCGTCTGCAATGGCGTTTCTGTTGAGCTTGAGCGTCGTGAGTGCGCTGTGCGGCAGGGCGGCAGCCAGGGTGCACAGCGTCGACCGGTCACTGAAAGGCACACACACACCACACACAGATAGATAGACATCAAACTGCACTCACACACACACGGGGGGAGACACACATACTGACGTGATGGCGAGATCGCTGAGGTCCAGAGAGGTCAGAGCACAGTGGGGCTGAGTGGGCGTGGCGGCCGACTGAGGCTCAGGCGACACCCCTGCTACCCCTGCCACCCCCTCTGGCACGGCCAGGTGTCCACACAGCGCCGCCACACCCGAAGCCTCGATCTTCGTCCCCTGGACACAGCACAATAGACAGAAAGGCGCGGATGAGCCCCCCTACCCCTCCCCCCCTAATAACACACAGCAGCCACGCCCACACGCACACCTCTTACCTCCATACTAAGCACTTCCAGTGTGGCGCACTCGGCGACACACTTGGCGATCCGCCTCATCGGCTTGGCCTCGATCTGGTTCTTGGCCAGCGACAGGTTGGCGAGTGCGCGTGTCTCTCTCAAGAGGTAGCAGAGTGCCTTCTCGATGGCGGGGCCGTAGATGCCCGTGCTGCTCAGGTCTAACACACGCAGCTGGGAGGCGTAGGGCAGGAAGGCTATCACACCCTACGAGAGAGAGAGGGAGGGAGAGAGGGAGGGAGGGCGCTGTTGTATGCTTGTTGTGGTGCGGTGTGTTGTGTTGTCTTTGTGGTGGGTACGTCGGAGTTGAGTTGGTTGCCTGTGAGGTCTAGGACGGCGATGGACGGCGTCTGCCTCAGCAGACGGGATATCATCTCACCACCAGCCTCCGTGATGTTGTTGTGGCAAAGAGACAGGCTCTGCAAAGTGTAGGTCTGCACGGTGGCCACACCCACCAGCCCACACAGACACATGGTGCTGGGGCCTGGGGGTGAGATATAGGCTAGGCACCTCCCGCAGTCCTTCTGTGAGGTGTTCCAGGCCTCTGTTGCCGATGGCGTTTGCCTTGAGCCCCTTCTCCCTCTCGCCAAGCTGCAGCGCTTCCAGGTCCCTGTTGGTCTGCAGCTCCTCACCCAACTCCCTGCACACACCACAGACACCACAGACAGCAGGCGTACTCTACATGTCACCCAGCCAGTTGTCTGTGGTGTGTGCCCACCGCGCTCCGTCTTCGCCCAGCCCGTTGTTGGCGAGGTTGAGCGACTTGACGCCCCTCAGCTTGGCCAGCAAGGCGCGGACTGCATGGATGCCGAAATCACCTGATGGATGGGGGAAATGACTCACACACACGAGGTCGATTTGTCCCTCCCTCTCTTTCGTCCGACGACCACCCGACATACCAATCATGTTGCCACTGAGGTCCACCCGTCTAAACTGTCGCTTAGCCCCGCCCGCTGTCTCCTCGGCGTCTCTCTCCTTCTCAACGGCGCCCGCAAGCCTACACACACTCATCTCATACCACCCACACATCGACGATCATCGATCGCATCGACGTGTGCTCGTCTCATCGTCTCCCGTCCCGTACCTGGCCACCGCATTGACCCCCAGCTGCACGTTTGAAAGCGACAGCACCGTCGGCACCCGGCCGTTCTGAGACGCGAGGGCATCGCGGAAGGTCTGCGCCGACGTGACAGACAGACGCTCGCCTAACACACACAGACACTCACACACACAGGCATACAGATGGATGGATGGATGATGGAGAATTCGGCCGGCCGGCTGTCTGTCACTCACCTCACCTGTGTCATAGGCGCGGCCATAGTATATCTCTGACCACAGGGGGTCTTCAAACACCTTCTCCAGCGCCATGGATCCGGATGATGATGACTGTCACGCCACTGAGAGACGAAGGGACACCCTCAGATGAGACGCCGGGGGCTATCCATTCATTGTCGATGAATCGGCACACAATGTGCTTTCCGGGCGAGGCCGCCGCTTTTCCCTCTCCCCAAAAGATCCCCCGGTCGCCGCCTCTCCCCTCCCGTTTCTCGGCTCGCAGTCTGCGAGCTAAGCCCGCAGACAAGCGACACAAAGGACCAGGCCCCACCCGCCGCAGGATCAGCAAGACGGGCCGACGGCGTGTGAGGCAACGAGAGGACAAAAACAGAGACTGTCTGTCTGTACCGTCGGTCGGCTGGTGAGTGGCTGAGGGAGGGAGTGAGGGGCTATGAGGGAGCCGCTTATTCGCGCCAGACTCTGTTGATAGCGCTGCTGCAGCTGCTGCCGGCAAGATTTGACAAGGCAGGTTTTGGTTTGATAGTGTGCCCCCCTGCAGAGGGGAGGGAGGGCAAAGGAGAGAGAGGGCGGCGGTTTGTCTGTGCGCCGGTCGGCGTATCGGTGTGTAGTATATATGGCCATGGCCGACGATTTGGACTCGTCCAGCTGGAGGTCGGCGGCATCCTCACACAGCCACACCACCACAAGTAAGCAACCAAAACCAACACAGACACCCTCTCGCTGCCTGCCTGCCTGCCTGACCGCCTGACTGCCTGTTTGTCTGTCTGTCTGTCTGTCTGTCTTGCACATTGCTTGCCCTGCACTGCAGGTGGTCATAATCGCGGCGGTTCTGGGGGCAGCAACGGCGGTCGCGGCGAGGTGCTGTCACTGGACAAGCGAGGGCTGAAGGTGCTGATCCCGCAGTTCTTCACCGACACACGGGGCATCCGCAGCGTGTCGCTCGCCGACAACCAACTGCAGGCAATCCCACAACGGGTCAGTCACTTCGGTGTGAAGTTTGTGATGTGAATCAATGGATGGATGGACTCTCTCTCTCTGTGTGGTGGTGGACTGGCGATGTCGACACAAACAAACAGGTTTTGCAGCCTGTCTACGACACCCTACTGAGTCTGTCGCTGTCCCGCAACCAGCTGTGCGTCTTCCCAGAGGAGATTCTCGAGCTCAGGTGCCTCGAGAGCCTCGCCATGGTCGACAACAAGCTGCAGGAACTGCCCAACGCACTGGTCTGCACACACACACACACACACACACACGGCCATACACACACATACGCGAGAGCACATTTCCTGTGTGGTTGGTTGCAGCTTCGTTTGCGCCACCTGAAGCACCTCGACGTCTCGCAGAACAAGCTCCGGGAGCTGCCCGACGCCATGGTTCGGATGGAGAACCTGACCACACTCAAGGCCAACATCAATATGGTGAGTGGGTCGGTGACCTCTAGCACCACTCACTGATGCGCACACACGACACGGGGCGGGCCATCCATCCATTTATCCATCCATGTCTGTGTGTCTGTGTCTGTCGTGTGTCAGCTGAGCGAGCTGCCTGTCGACATTGGCAACGCGCCGCGGCTCAGGGGGCTCGGCATACACAGCAGTAAGAGAGCAATTCAATTGTGTGATGGTTGAGTTGATATCATACTGTGCGCCAACAACTCGATCAACCACGTCGGCCCGGCCCATGTGTGTGTGTGATGCCCTCCACTCCATGCATGTATCAGATTATCTTGAGGAGCTGCCCACGAGCATCGCGCGGCTCGAGCTGCAGGAACTCGCCACTGAGTGGCTCAGGTGGGGCGACGCCATCCATCCATTCATCCATCCATCCATCGGCGAGCCATGTGAGCAGACAAAGCACGCTTGTGTGTCTGGACCAAACAGGTATGTGAGCCCGCCGCTGCCGCGCAACCTCTCAGCCCGTAAGGGGGACGAGACCGCGGCGTCGCTGCTCAAGAAGATACGGTCGGTAGCCGGCCACACACACGCACACACACAAACAGACACACAGACACACACTGAGTGACGGCCAACATCACATGGTGTGTGTGTGTCAACAGTGAGGTGTTGCGGTCGTGGGATGGTCCGCACATCGGGTTTATCGACTTTGTCGGGCAGCTGTCGGAGAAGCCATTCGACGTCAATGGTACACACACGCACACACACACACCCACAGATGGATGGATGGATGTGGTTATGGGCGCAGGAACCGATCGGCGCCACTGCACGCGGCTGCACTTCGCCGTGCGCAACAACGACATGGGCGTGGCGTACGCTCTCCTGAGGGACAGACGATTCATTCTGGTGCGTGCCGTGCCACTATCCTGATTGCATCTCTCTGTATAAGTGTTGTGTGTGTGTGTGTGGTGTTATTTTATGTGGTATGGCAGCTCAACGCTTCGCAGAGCGACAACCAGCTGTCGGCCTTGACCATCGCCACACAGAACCAGAACGTGGAGCTCGTCAAGCGCATGATCAAGGTCCGTAAGGCTGGCATCCATCCATCCATCCATCAAAAGCCGTCCGCTGTGGCACACAGATCACATCTGATGTGTTGTGCTGTGGTGTGTGTGGGTCCGATCATCAATCAGGCGGGGGGCAATGTGAGCGAAGGAGCGGGTGTCTACGGCAGCCCACTGCACGTGGCCGTGGCCAACTTCGATAGACACCTCGTGGCGGCGCTGCTCAAGTACCCTTCCCCCCACGCCCCACCTTGCTGATGCCTTTGTTGCTCCCTCCCACTCTCTCTGTGTGTGTTGCGACACGTGCAGGGCGGGTGCGAATGTGGTAGTGGTGGACAGCGAGGGCAACAACGCCCTGCACGTGCTCTTCTCCGTCTACAACGCCGGGGAGCGCAAGACCTCTGAGGCCATCGCACGGATGCTCCTCGGCGCGGGCGTCAGATGCAACCAGGCCAACTGCGGTAGCTAGTGACCTGCCTGACCCAACACACCCTCCCTCTCCGTCACCCTCACCCTCACCCTCTCTCCCTTTGTGTGTGTCTGCGTCATGCTCTCTCTCTCTGTTTGTGGGATGGGTGGTTGGTTCAGAGCACTGGACGCCTCTGCACATGGCCGCGCGCCGGTCGCAGCACCGCGCAGTGTCGTTTGCCGTGCAGTGGAACAGGTCGCACCCGGCTTGCACCAAGGGGGACTGCCAGCACCAACATGGACGCACCGACGGCGGCAGCGGCAGCGGTGGTGGTGACGGAGGAGGGGGAGGGGGAGGGTGTGTGTCGGTGTTTGATATGAACCTGAGAGGGGGCGTCCAGGCCTGGACCCCGCTGATGCTCGCTTGGTGGGCTGGGCTGGAAACATCCCCCCACACACACAGAGCACACAGAGGGAGAGAGAGAGGGTGGAGGGACAGCCAACACACACAAGAAAGCTTCACGCACACGCACACGTGAGCGATCTGTCCAGGAGTCCCTCTCTCTGTCCCTCTCCCTGTGTTAGCAGCCACGCGAGCTCCTACGAGTGCGGTGTGGTCTTCATCGACGGCGGCGCGGACCCCCTCATCCGCACGTCCACCGGCCAGCTGGCCAGGCACATCGCCAAGGGCAACGCCGCACTGGCCAAGCTGCTCAAACGACTGGAGGAGGAGATTATGTGGTTCAAGACCATGCGGCAGCACGGCCGTAAGCACACACACACACACACACACACACATGCACTGGTGGATGTTGGTTGCTGCATCCATTGTCCGTGTGCAGCCCGTCCCTCGTTGCCGCCCCACCTGACGCAGCCGCACGACCCTTCCGAGGGCGAGCAGGAGCACCACTGCACCACCACCACCGCCACCAACTCCCCCACACACCTCCACCACACACAAAGGGTCGAGGTCATCGGCGGGGAGGAGGCCGGTAGGCAGGCGTGTTTGCCGTGCTCGTGTGGTGCCCGCGGCCGCACATCTCTCTCTCTCTCTCTCTCTCTGTGTGTGTGTGTGTGTGAGCAGCATTTGACGCTTTCATTTCCGATGCAATCGTGGCGCACTTCGATGAGCCCTTCACCGACACAGAGGACGACAGCTCACCTGCAAACAGCACCACCAATGGCCACCAGGCAGACCAGAGAGTCGGCGGCAGGGTGTCCTGGAGCCACGACGCCGCCAAGAGGATGGCCGAGAGAGGACGTTTCAGCTTGGGTGAGCTTGAGAGGCTGCAGGAGACCTTTGGCGTGGCGTGGAGCCCGAAACGATACAAGAACAAGTCAGCACTCAGCACTCAGCACAGCAGCCGCGACATCCTGCGCTGCGCACACCCATTGCGTGATGCAGGTTGTTTGACGCGCTGTGCCACAAGCGCGTGGACCGCTACGTCATGCTGGCCACACACAGCGTCCCCAAAGCTGACCCGTCCCTGCTGCTCATCTCAGGTCAGTCACACAAACACCACACCCCCCCCCCCCCCCC